GTTAGTATGCTTGTTTCCGAATCGAGCGGTCTGGGTTTGAGCCCTGGCCGGGAACACTGTGTTGTGTTCTTGGGCAAGACACTTTACTCTCAAAGCGCCTCTCTCCAGCCAGGATGTTTAAATGGTTACTGACGAACTTTATCCTGGGGGTAACCCTGCGATGGACTAGCATTCCATCCAGGGGGAGTAGAAATACTCCTAGTTGCTTCATGCTACAGAAACCTGGATAAGCTCCGGCCTGGTGGGCCACTTGACCAGTATGCAGACTTTACCTTTTTACCTTAACTCTATAATGTAGCCTTCAATTAAATGGTGAGACTTTATAGTGGAAACTTAATAGTTTTAACAAACTTCTGTATTATAAGCAAGTCTGTCAGTCCAACCAAAGTCGCAGGCAAATGTATGTAACAGAACAGAACATCAATATAACAAACCTTGATATAAGGAGATCATTTTCATATTATGAATGTTTGCGTAAGCCCAAATATCAAATCAACCCCATAATGTAACAAATAAATGTCACCAAGTCAGGTGTGAAAGAAACAGGATTTATGCACTGCCTCTTGTACATTTTTACAGATACAAGCCAAAAGACAGGCAATCTACATTGTAAGAATTCTTTGATGACACATCTATTATCAGTAGCAATTTTCAATTTCTAGCATCCAGTAGTTTTCTGTCGTTTAACAAGCACTTAATGACTGGCCCCAAGGGAAACAGTGAGTTTTGTTTCCCTGAGACCCTCACTGTTCCCCGAGACAAAGCCAAGTGGAACATTGAAGTTGAGAGGAAACCAAATTCACAGTTTCTTATGGGGCCAGTCATCAAGTGTTTTGTTGACCAGTTAACCTCTTCTTCTTCCCTTTCTTCTCATTCCCAGCCTCTTCTCAAAGCTGTACATGTGCATTCATGTAGCTTCCTCATTTTAGGGTGTTGTTCTCACTGTGTGCTATTTTTTTAAGCAAGACAAAATTTAGCATTTTGTGAATGTCACTTCATTGTCGTCTCGAATTCTAGCTAACTTTTCTCCAAATATCTGAAATTTTATTACTGTGTATTCCATAATGATTCAGTTCAGTGCCCTTCTTTGATAAGTGCCACTTTTCTACATGTAGTTAGTGCTCCCCCTTATAGTGCTGTTGTTTAATAAGCTCCCCTATTTTGAATAATTTGGTATTAGTGTCCCCATAGTGAACGTAACATTCAATCGACCGACGTAGAATAGACTTATTAGATGAATGAATCTAGCCTGCGAACAGGCTCCTGGCGAGGACAGAAAAAAATTTAGGCGAGCACGAAACAGAAGAATTCGGAGACCGAAGCGATCAGGGTAGGGACAGGGGAGTCTGTGGACTTTGTTTTTGATGTGCCTATCTGCCCTTGGTGATAAGCCTGTAACAAATCAGTCAATGAGGTAATTAGACCTATCAAGAAGCTACATTTTTGGTACTTGCAAACAGCTCTAATCGAACTAATCAAATAGCTGGGCCGGGCGTCATAATATAGAGTGCAAGTAAGCAACATGAGCACAGAATGTTTCAAACACTTTTTCCCTCCAGAGCCAATACTTAGAGAGCTTAAAACATATTTTGCAATACTGAAATGAGCCTAAAGAAATTATAAGCACATGATAGTGGTGTCAAACTCTGCGAAGCGACAAGCAGATAACAGTGGAAAGTCCGGAAACCATGCCTTTGACCTCTAAAAAAATTGCTATAGCACCACCGAATGACTCCACTCCACTAGCTTCTACTTAAAATTCCTGCTTGTAACAGAGCATTAAGTACCCTTCAGAATCACTTGTGAAGTAACGAAAGGTTGAAAGACCGAAACTTAAAGGAGAACGGCAAATGCACTTTTGTAACCAACCGTTGGAGTCATATAATTTTACAAAGATCTGTCAAATGTTCATCTCAAAGATGTCAACAATCAGCGATTTAACCAATCACATCATGATAACAGGAGTTGGTATCATAGAACAGCGGCATCAGTAGAATGTCTACAGGCTCCCTCGCTTCGTTCGGGCTCACTGGGAGCCTGTTCGCAGGCTAGAATGAATCATACATACATTTTTACATACATACATTTTATTTTGTTTTCAAATTAAAATTACAATTATAACATGCCCGCAGATAGCTGAGCTAATCTCGGGGGGTCATGTTTACTCGAATTATGTGGTTTGCATCCAATATAATATTGAACGTGTTTATTTGGAATAATGAAACAAAAATTATGGCTATATTATTTTACAGGTAATATTTTTTTCAGATGTATTAGACAAGCTCAAGGTGCAATCACAGAATGGCAAGGAAACGTTTCCACTCAGTCAAGTGGCACAAATCAAACTTAATGATAGCATGTTTGTTATAGACTTGAGAGATTCACCTGAGGTACGTCAATATTTTATTGCCAACCTTTTAAATCCTATGTGTATAGTGTTCAGCATTTTATTTGTCTTTGCAACTTTAGTTCGAATTTGTCAAAAGTACAAGTAATGAGAACAAGTTTAATGACAATAACTGTGCTAATGATAAATGTTATTATATGGCTCTGTCTCACAAGGACTGGGAACTACCAAATTCATGAATTTGATTGGCTGAAATCGATATTGAAAGCAGTCTAGATTTTCCATCTAGACCGGCATTTAGACCAGTATTAAATGTTTTGTGGCGAAAAAGTTGCAAACTAAAATGCAAAATCATTGACTATTTTGATCTAACAATATTTATTTTATGGAAGTGCCAAAAGACCTGATGGGGAAAAAAAAGTAAAGAGCATGAGCAGACTTTGGCAGAATTAAATTCAGCTTATCACTATTCACAAGCAAAATGTCAGTTAGTACAAACCTGTTACATTAAAAGGATTCAATTGTTCTTGTTTGTGCCATATAATTAACATCTTATTAAACAAGCTTAGTTGGTCTGTATGGGAGAATCTTGACCTCAGTTGTGTGTACAGACTAAACCCAGTGAGGTCTGTACACACGACTGAGGTCAAGATTCTCCCATACAGACCTCCTGCTCGGTTAATAAGAGCTAAATATTTATACTTCATAGTTTCTATAAAAATATTCAACCTTGGCTTATGATAAGATTTCAAAGTTACAAATGTAATAATGAGCCTTAATTTAGTCATTGACAAATATCACGTGTCGTGTACTGTTCAAACTTTCATACAATTATGTATTTATTATGTACATGTATGTACCTGAGAAACAACAAGAAGCCTAATATTAACAAGCTTGTGCTTATTTCAAAATAATGTTAGATTTGCCTGTTCTCAGCCAATTACATGATAGGAAGTAATTTTTCTAACCTCTGTTTGTTTCTTTTTTAAGATGTATTTTATCTGTTTTTATTATTGAATAAAACATTATTGTTATGTACACGACAGACACTACACCATGTTGTTACAACCTCATGCTTTTTTTTTACCTATCATGCCTTTTGAACTTTACAAGGTGACAAGGTGGTTAACGATGATGCATACATGACAATTATGTTCTGTTCTGTTCTGTTATGTACTGTAGTTTTGTGTTATGTTGTCTTGTGTTGTGATGTGATGTGATGTGATGTGTCATGATGTGATGCGATGTGATGTGATGTGATGTTATGTTTTGTTAAACCGCATAACACGAGGGCCAATTCCCACTTTTTTTACATCCATTTTGAAATTCCACAATTTAACTGCCTAAACATAGTACCATTATTTTGTTGAACCAGTAGCTGGTTTGCTAAAAAAGCAGAACCCAAAATGCTTTTACATCTCATTTTGCATACAAAACAGAAACATAGGCACGCAAGGTGTGCAAGAGTTAATTTTGCGTGAAGTGTCGGAGATGGAGCATTCATGGAACTGTTTACAGTAATGATTTGGTTAATTTGACAAG